TATTACCAGGTTACAATTACATTAGCTCTACACTAAATTTTAACCAGAATGATGGAATCGTAATATATACAAAACAATCTCTCCATTTTTCGATCGAAGAGCCAACAAACCTGGAATTTAATTGTATTATTATTAAAATAGGCTCTGAAATAGCAATCGTGTCAATCTATAGATCTCCTTCCATCAGAAATTTAGATAAATTTAATAAGTCATTAGATAATATTCTACAAAATTTGTCATCCTTTCCAACTGTCATCATAATTGGCGACCTAAATATTAATATAAATTCTGATAACATTGACGCAGGTACTCAAGACTACCTAAACCTTTGTGCATATCATGGCATTTTACCTTCACACACATTTCCAACTCATCAAAGTGGGTCATGTTTGGATCACGTCATGCTAAAAACTAGACTTCCGTGTTTAACACTTGTTACTAACTCAACAATCACAGACCATTCCGCAATTTTGCTTACGCTTGAATTAAATCGGACTCAACATTTTTCGCGTCCGCAGCAAAAATCGCGACTCAATATGATTAATCTGGGACGTGATTTATGCAATATTGACTTTAGTCCAGTTTTTGATTCTGCTGATGCTGACGAATCAATGGATTATGTTATTAAACATGTACAACTATCTATCTTAAATAATACTAACACAATAACCTTAAGTAAGAAAAATTGCACCATAAAACCGTGGATAACGGAGGGACTTGTCAGGTGTATACGACACCGCGATAGACTACACAGAAAAGCCAAACAAAACCCTAATAACTTAATTATCCAGACAACATATAAAAGATATCGTAATTTCTGCAATAACCTCTTAAAACGTATAAAAAATGAATACGACAAATCACAAATAGCTCAATCCGGAAACAATCCCAAACAACTGTGGAAATATATTAAGTCAGTCACATTCATGACGAAGCAAAATAATTGTGACACTGATTTATTGCAAACGGATCAAACCCCGCTATCATCAGCTAACAACGCAAATAGTTTCTTTGCTAATATTGGTGTGAGGCTAGCGGAAAACATTCAAAGACAGTGTTATAATGACCTCAATACTACGATACCATCTCCGAGGCCATGTATTGGTAGTGGAAAGTCTTTTGTTTTACTAGAACCGGACGAAAGTGAAGTAGAACGAATTATTATATCTTTAAAAAATAGTCCTGTGACAGGGTGGGATAATATCAGCACTAATATACTAAAAACCTTTAGGAACATACTAATACCGCCACTAACTCATATTTTTAAAATTTGCTTTTCTAGTGGTACATTTCCTAAATGCCTCAAGAAAGCAGTAGTAATCCCTATCCATAAATCTGGTACAAAGGACTTGGTAAATAATTATCGGCCTATTTCTATATTGCCGTCAATCTCTAAAGTTCTTGAGAAAATTATAAATAATAGACTAGTCTCGTATCTCGAAAATAACTCCCTTATATCTAACAAGCAATTCGGCTTTAGAGCCAAATTATCGACAGCTGATGCAGTACATACATTAACTGACTATGTATCAGGAGAGCTTGGACAAAGTAAGCAAGTAATGGGAATTTTCCTTGATTTAGCAAAAGCTTTTGATACGGTATCTATCCCATTGCTACTAGACAAACTGGAGGGGTTGGGAATAAGAGGGACACAGTTGGAACTTTTTAGAGACTACTTGCGGGATAGACGGCAATGTGTAAAAATAGGCAACGTCATTAGTTCCGAATTACTGCTACCGCTATATGGAATTCCACAAGGGAGCGTACTCGGAGGAACCCTATTTCTGGTATACATAAATGACCTATGTAACCTCAAACTACAGTGTGGCACTATTGTATCATATGCGGATGACACTGCTCTGCTGTTTTCAGCAGGTTCTCTTACAGAAGTTCAAAGCTGTGCACAGCAAGGGTTTGATGTCGTAAATAATTGGCTTAAAATAAATCTACTAACAATAAATACTGATAAGACAAAATTTATAAAATTTAATATGCGTAAACCTCTAGCACGTAATGAATTTCACTTGTATGCGCATAAATCAGAATGCTCAATCGTGACTAACGCTTGTACCTGTCCGGAAATTGTAATAACAGATAACATTAAGTATCTAGGAGTTATTCTAGATGAAACCCTTTCCTTTAAACAACATATCGCTGCATTAACATCTAGAGTTCGGAAATTGATATTTGTTTTTAAAAAATTGCGGCTTATTGGTGATCACAAGTTAATTATTCAAATTTATAAAGCCCTGTGTCAATCGATAATCCAATACTGCATTACTTCTTGGGGCGGAAGTGGAAAAACATTGATACTTCCAATCGAACGAGCGCAAAGAGCCATCTTGAAAGTCGCCACGCACAGACCGTACCGCTACCCCACAGGCTTACTGTATGAGTCTAGTAAAGTGCTGACAGTGCGACAATTATTCATACTATCCACTGTACTAAAACAGCATACTACACTTACATATGACGCTAACCTCACTAACACCAAGAGACGGAAAGATATTGTCTGTACTGCTAGCTATGAATCAAAGTACGTATTTACACATAGATTTTTTGCATTTTTAGGGCCATATCTGTACAATAAAATTAATAAAGAAACCTTGGTTTACAATGTAAATTACACCAGAGCAAAACAGCGCATTTCTCAGTATCTACTATCATTAAGTTATGAAAAAAGCGAGGATTTGTTGATTGTCATGAAATAAATAATATATAGATATAAATAGATAATAATTATTTTAATAAATGCAAGTATAAAGTTAGTGTTTCCTAACTTATGTATACATATGTAGGTTTTGTAATTTTTGGTGACTGTAGAAATAATATTGTTAAGGCTTAGTTATATTATCCTAATGTATAATGCACGCGACCACAAAGCCTGTGGTACAGATTTAATTCTATACAGGCATTGTATTGTAAGCTACCTAGAATAGTTAAATAATAAGCTTTGATTAAGTACAAAATGTGAACAAAATGGAAATAAATATATTTGTTTGTTTGTTTGTTTGTTTGGTGTTGTTAATGTGTGATATGACTATAAGAATTTCAATTTTATAGTTGCAGTAATGGTCTACTGCTACTATAGATATAATTACTGGTGTAATTATAGTCTTTCCATCTAATATAATTTAATAACCGTTATCGTAACTAACTTATAAATAGTATGCATAATTACTTTATTAAATAATAATAGATAAATTACATTGGAATAATTCACCGTCCAGTATTATCTATATCAGTTTAATAAACTTTATTAATGTCCATACTAACACCAAGAGAAACACTCATAGGTTACAAGTATCGTAAAAGTAAACGAGCAGATAGAAAAAACAAGTTGTGGTTTGTTATAAAAACATTTTAGCAGATTGAAATCGGAGCTCGTCAATCGGCGACTATGTACCGCAATAGTGAGGATTCGAATGTTTAATTCACTCACCGAATTGAAAAGTCTAGTTTATTCTAAACATTTTATTGTATGAAACTACTGGCCCGTACCAACTTCGAGGGAGTTATTTCGTTGTTGTACGTGAAATTCCTCAGAGTTAAGTTAACAATGTTCCCGGGCTATTTATTAATAATGAAATTTGATTTGACTATTTTAATGGTTAAAATTCAGTATTTAAGTACTCACGTGTCTCGTGTTTATAATAGAAAGGACCGATATTAAAATCCGGACTCCACTAAAATGGAGACGAGGCGAGGTGAGCGGGTATATTTAAACAACCAGGAAAGATATTTCTTCACACATGAATATGCGTCTCCAATCAGCTTCATTAATGTTTACTATAAGGCTGCAATTACCTTTTGCCTTTTCTATTTTATGTCAAGAATAATCCATTTTAAAATAGCGCGCGTTAACTGTACCGCGAGATATTACGTATACTGTATAAGGTACCTGATAAGAGAACTCGCGACGCAGAAGTTTGCAATGCCGTGTTGATTCAAAGAGTAGCTTTTAAGCCATTAGTCCTTAGGTACATCAGCATAACACCATAATAGAGCCTAGACATTCTCGTGCTAACTTTTTAACAAGCTGTGTAACCTTCAACGAGAAATGCGCGTATTAAGTGAATGTGACATTGTACGCGTGGTACATAATGTTATCTTAGCCAAACACTCGCCGGCTTTTAATTGTGACAGTCTAGTAGGGTCTTTATTCCCAAACGTTTTAATCTCTTAATTTTAATTATATTTTAAGTTACAACTTCACACAATTAGTGAGCCATTTATTATTTTTAAAACTGAAAACAACACAGCACTTCGTATACTCAAGACTCGTGCTATTGATGGTACTGTTCATTTATGAACTCAACAATTTCTGAGATGTTGTCGTCACAAAATTACCATTTTTATCACTCTAAACACTCATCAAAAATCAGCTTCAGTAGGTGAATGAACGTTTATAATGGGAAATTTTATAAAACCGTAAATTATGTTACTGCGCCCGACAGTGTAAATTGACCTTTAAAAAATCACACGCATGAAGTTTAAATGGACCTGTCGCAAAGCATCGATGAAATAATTAAAAGTTGGATAGTTGCGAACTTTTATTGTACTAATTGATCTGAGAGACTCCGCCAGCGTGAAAATGGTGGGATTTTGAACCAAATCTTTCATTATTTCCTTGAATACGTCATTTTGAAAGAGCTTCGACGAATATTTGAGAAGATGAATTTCCTGATTACGTCCCGCAGGTCTTTAGTTTCGAGTGAAGATAATTGTGTGGTCTTTAAATACCAGAAGGATAGGGGCAGAAGTGCAACATTTACAGTGTAACAACCACTTTTTACCAGTTATATGACGAGTTCCACGCAATAGCGACTAAGCTTGTTGTCATATTGTCATTGACCGGCCCTAACTTCGGGTTGGTAAAGAAATAGCTTTGTTCTACCTAAAACTCTCCCTCGGTATTCCTCTTCCTTGCGATCACGTATCAGTCCACATTTAGGGATATTTTTAATATATTTCTTCTAACGCTTTTTTTTCTTGTACAGGGGAATCAAGTTCCGAACCGGGGAGGCTCGAAAAATTTTCCATCGGGATGTCTGGGATAATAACCAAGCTATCCAGCAAGGCCAGCCAGCCCCAGCCGCTACCCCTGGACAACAACCCCATCCTCCAATACTTCGAGGTGGGGGCGGAGAGTAGCACCGCTGGGCCTGGTCTAATTTGGCGAATCCACGATGCATACCGGAAAAGCGATGGGAAGGTAAGTGGAAAATTTTAAACCACAACCTTTCGTTTCAGGTTTTTACTGGCATTCTGTCGAATCTGGTATCGGTATTTCAACAATTTTGGTTGAAACTCTTTGGTTAATCAAAAATTAATAGATTGAATGCAGTGTTGCTCTATCAGGCTATCAAGGACTTCCTTAGGTCTTAGCCAAAGAACACATAGATATAGTATTTTGGAGCATTCAAAAAATTACGCAAACCATAAATTGAAACTTAGATTGTGATGTAAAGATCATTGGCTGAAACACAGGTTTTTACTGATACCTACCTCAGGCGGGACGCTACAGTATTTAAAAAAAATACCTAATTCTATCCTAAATTTATCTTTGATTATTTCAATGTAAGTTGTTTTTATAATTTATTAGTATTTATAATTTACCATAATTGTATAATAATTTGACTACTGTTACATGTTTTGGAAGTTTTTGTGTTTAATAATCGATTTTATTTTATTTTTATTTTATTGTGCTCTAAAAGTACTAGCTTAGTAGCTGCTTTATGGATCTATTAGCAAACTTTGCCAGCTAAAAGTGAATTTCAAATATATTTTGAACTCAGGTAAACTAGTGTAGTTGGAGCACAAAACTTGCGTGTATATTCACACATAACAAGTACTTCTCGACCGATTCTTTAGAAATAATATAAGGATTGCAGAAGTCTTAACGAAACTTGTTCTCCATAAATATTTCCATGTTTTCAAAGACTAAAGAAAAATAGTGCTTACTGAATAGAACGATTTGGAATGATCACTTTTGATGCTATTTTACTAAAATAATGATTTAATTTTATTGTATTTACAAATAGGCGAAATTTTTTACGTAATCAACTTACGTATGTTGCACAATATGAAATATTTATTCTGGAATGCCCAACGATTATGGTATTTATTGGAATTTACATATTATTGTAACAATATATAACAGTAACGAGTTGCTGTTGTTGTTGATCACATTAAAATGCATTGTTTTTTTCGAGAAAACCTTAATCATAATTCATTAAACATGGAATTGTCAATATTTTTGCCTCACAACTAGAAGCTGGTATTGATAAAACAGATGAATCGTTCGACCAACATGATTTTGTTATAATATTTATAGTCATAGGCCCAATGCATAGGCCCTATAGTTAGGCCGCTAACAATTTAGGACTCCAAATAAACAGGAACATAAAAACATACATCTAAAATAATATTCTCAATTTAAATTCTGATAGTTATGTTACATACTATTTGATAATACGACGCATAGAGAGAATTGCAGGTACATCATTAACAGCGTTGAATATGAAAATGACCTTCACACGCATTCATTACGCAAATCGAAATGTTGCAGTCGTACTCAATGAACTCAAGTCAAAATATTTAGTTAATGGAATTGCTTTGTGGCATACTACGTTTGACAATGAAGCGTTTATGATGCAAATGACAACAATAGGCCCCCGGTCTTGATCACATGGCACACGGGTGTGTACTTACCCTGCGTGTTATGTACTACACTGTGGCTTTACTGAACTTTGGTCAGACAGTTATTATAGCTTTGTTTCCGTGTCGGTATTAGGTGCGCATTAGAGAAGCATAATAGAAACTAATAACTATTTTTAATAAGTTTTTTATACCACGACGGTGGCAAGAAGAGCATATGGTCCATCTGATGGTAAGTGGTTATTATGGCCTATGAACGCTTGCGATACATGGGACATTACATGCGCCTTGCGGACCCTTTATAAACCTATTTACTCTTTTCTTGAAGAACTCCTTTGTATCCCATCGGGAAAACCTTGGCAGGGAGTTCATTTCGCAATCGGGGAGTCCGTGGGAGGAAATTCCTCTGAAACCGAACTGTACGGGACCATTTGGGCTCTAATATGTGAGCGTGAAGTTAGTTTAGTGGTATTTTATTTATTCGCTGCCTTTGTAAAAGTATGATTATATTGAAACACAGAATTCAATAAAGTGATGCACATCACACAATTATACTTAGGGGTTATTGTAAGCTTACATATGTGTGAATACAGATTGAAACTAAGTGAAAGTCTCAACTCGCAGAACCACATAGCAAAATCATTGATAGGATCCTTTGCGCGCACATTAATAAAAGAATACATTCCAAGGAATCATGCGTCAATCAGTAGACGTATAGTTACTTATTTTGGGATTTGCGAGTTAATGAAAAAGATTGGCTGGTGTTCAATTTTGTATTATAAGTACCCTGCAAATCATTGCTCATGTCAGCGTAATAGTCACTGCAACATTTGCCACGAACTATATGATTGAACAAGATCATTATGTATACGTATTAAGCTTCGCGAGCATCCTTATTATCATGTCATTAGTTCAGATGGATCCCTATATCCCTAATTGAATCCGTGACAATTACCGGTTAATTATATTGCAAGATTTTACCAGATTCGGCAGTATGACAGTTTTTAGATGCACCAACTGCCATTAGCAACAGCGTCGCACCGAAAGGTAGGTTTGGAGCATTGGACCTGGACATTTGGACATCACTGGTGGGTACTTTTTTTTTCGTGGGAGTCGTAAAAGTCTTTGGGACCATATATTTAACGGATATTAGGAACCAGGGCTCTCCGATAGACTAGAATTCTTTTAACTGCGATCTCCGACCCATCTTCCAAGCGTGGAGGTAATGACAAATTTCTTCTGAGTAGAGAGAGAATTGCAGCAGTGGACTGTCACAGGCTACTTACCTATGTAATGTAATACATCAGTTGATTAGGAATATGCACAATGTTCTACACTAACATGCATTTATGACTAAACATTAACTTTAACTTGAAGTTTATTTGAAGACTCTAATAGTTGGTTGTTTTTTTTATTTTGATGACATGATAAATATTGCCTTCTCTAAAATTCTTTAAGTGTGGGAGAGCCATGCTTCGGCACGAATGGGCCGGCTCGACCGGAGTGATACCACGGCCTCACAGAAAACCGACGTGAAGCAACGCTTGCATTGTGTTTCGTCGTGTGAGTGAGGTTACCGGAGGCCCAATTTCCCCCCCTTTCCCAATCTCCCCAATCCCTGAATCCCCAACAATCCTCAAACTCCTAATCCACAAATAGCCGGTAACGCACTTGTAACGCCTCTGGTGTTCCAGGTGTCCATGGGCGACGCCGATTGCTTTCCATCAGGTGATCCGTCTGCTCGTTTACCGGCTTATGCCATAAAAAAAAAAAAAAAAAAATATAGCGAATAAGGGAGAGATTTTGTGACGTACAATCTAAATCCTTTTACATATACAAGGGTATTGATCGGAGTAGGTATGGTATAATCTAATATGACTTCCTGAGTAGTGCGGGATTATTGACAGTTTAGCTCTCAGTTTATACACAATACACTTACATATATAAATGAATTATATTATTTTTAGAAAGTGAGTCAAAACAGTAACAAGGGAGTATGTATACCTATGTATGTATTAATAATATATATATTATGTAATTAACAGCTCTATGATAGACGACTGTTTACATGTTTAGAGGTACACAGCCATACTAATTATTACCTTAATCTCTTTTAAGGAAATAAATAAGTTTATGTGTGGCTGTTAATGATACTTTTAAGTTTACTGGTCTAATAGAAGATAATACAATAATCTTTTTTGTACTACATCAACCCCTGGTATGCCAGAGACGTACATATACGTGAGTCACAACGCGTTTTCTATTGTGATAATATTGGGTTAATGATGTACTACATACAGAAAAAAGTATTAAAAAACATAAATAAAACATAATAATGGGCACACAGACGGTCTTATCACTTATAGAGATTTGTACCAGACAACCTTTGGGTAGATATTGAATGCAAAAGAAATATTTAGACGGGTTGTGTTCTATGAAAATAAATAAATAAAATAATAAAAATACATACACATACATACGTATGTTGTGCTCAATGCGGTCTAATGTGCACTTCCACTTCATTTTTTATATATATGGTGTCTTTATGTACAAACAAAATTCTCGCAGTTATGGTATGACTAGTTTACATAGAACTTTATAGCCTAATCAAATAAAATGACAGATGTAGGAAACTCACATCGCCAAACTGTCGAATTTACGAAAATTGCATCAAATTGCAATAAACCTGTGTCGGATAACAATTTATTGCTATCGGAAAATTGTGTTCCGGATATTGTCGGTGCTTACTGTTCGCTTCTCGTTTTACCAGTTCATTCTGCATGGAAATACCGTGGATGCCATCCCTCTGTCACCAGATGGTATTTTTGAAGCGATGCCAGCCGCATTCCTTTCAAAAACATCCAATAACCGTTTACACACTATTCGATGCATACTCCCGTTTGCTGTCAGTCAATCTACGTCACAGTAGCGGTCAGGCGTGGCAGAGGTGATTATTTTAACTGATATTAATTTTAAAACAAAACATTCGCAATAAATATGTTTGGGACATGTCAACGTTGACTGAGATACTTTAATTTGGTCGGTGCAAAATGCGGTGCTTTTGATGTTCCTTCAGATTGAGTTATTTTGTGGTTATATGTACCTATCTCTTTTCGTTTTAATTACAGTGAGTTTAAGTTAGACTTAGTCTAACACCTTTTTCTTAATCTCGTAGTTGTGTTATTAAAGTTTTGTTAAGGTCGTTTCAGATTTTCGGGCATTTGACTACCCGTAACCACTGCCGTAAATGTTTATACGACAACTGGGACCAGTTTTACGACAAATGAGGCACGGTTGTGTCTACTTTCATTTAATATTGAGAATGAGCACCCATCCGCATCTTAACTTAGGAAGATTACTTTTACCTTCCAGCTATTAACACACAAGCTTTCCCTTTCTTATGGGAAGTGTTATAGCAGAAATATAACAGACACAAAAACACAAAATAACCGTGCGTAAACAAGGAAAAACCACGCGGTATTTACAGTACAAATGAAAGTCGACTGTTCAAGGGAAAATCCTGAAATTCCTGGCCGCCATCCAGGGATATATTAA